CAAGACCAAGTTGCGACAACGAGGTCAACCCACTTCTATAAGTCAAAAGGAGACTGCGACCATACCCGAGACCACAACATCTTGGTCTTCATATCTTCAATTTGATGGTTATACTTGAAAATGTCAACATTCAGTAGATGATAGAGAACTAAAGGAACGATAGGAAATTTCAACTCGAAAGTAAGGATACTTCATAGTCATTGAAATTGAAAAGTTGTTCGCCATTGAAGTCTAAACATAAAAGTGGGCTAATCACGTTTTCGCAACTTGGTTAGTGTTGTTAGGGGGACCTTCATTTCGTATGAAAGTGCATGAGGAAGAGCTTCCTTGGTCGATCTCACCAGATGAGGACGGATGAAATTAGTTGTACTGCAGCCGGTTAGATTTTATACGATATTCAAGTTGACGCAGAAGTAAAATAGAGCCGTATAGTGTTGTTGCTGTAGAGTTGACGTGAGACTCTCACAAGAATGACACCCAACTCTGATGATGTCCATCGTATGATGGACGAAAGCTCAGCACGTTTTCACCCGAAACTAGGGAGAAAGTCCCTAACAATGTTATCTCGAGAGATTCATCGAATCCTAGTTTCTCTTGGTTAGTGTTGTCTTGGCGACTTAGTTGGACGCACTTTGAGCCTACCATAATTCCCACCTTCGAACTGTCGTCTTGGTACATGCACAGACGCTTCACCGGCATCCTCAGTGGGTCTTGGCATTCTCAGCGCCAAGCTACAACAGGTCAAGGGATTGACTTTACTTGTCTTTTTTTGGCTATAGCAGAGGACTTTGGACAAAGCGCGTCCAATCAGGTTGCCCCGACAGCCTGAGCAAGTTGCGAAAATGAGATCAGCCCACTTCTGTACACGCCGAAAGGAGACTACGATAAAAAACCAAAGACAGCACCATCTTGGTTTTCATTTCTTCGAATCAACATGACATTCATTTTCCGGACAGTCAATGTGCTAGAACACTTAATTCGGCCCGATCGCGCGTCCCAGTGAGAAGAAGACAACGGCAGACTCTTAGACTTCCCATCGGAGGTTATTTTGTGACGCGTCGAAGCCGGACAACGGCATGGTTACAGCGACTTCTTCACTAATCGTCCGCTCGAGCCGTCTTCGTAAGGCTTCAGACGCACCAGATTGACCGTGAACTTTCCGCTGGTAGAAGAGTTTCGGGACAGCCGGACGCTGCACTCGAGGAGAGAGCCTACCTTAATGATCGGTCGCCGACAGGCAGCAGCTCTGGTGGGCGGGATTCGGCCGTGTTTCCGTGTCATTTGCAGCCCTTCCGAGAGGGCCTGGCAACCGGCGACTCTTTAAACGTCTTCAACTCAGACTGGACCGTACTGGCGGTAAAAAACGCGCCCTCAGGCGGCTGTCTCTTGGCCCCGTAGAGCAAATTGGGGATACACTAATTGTCAGGACACTGGCGCGGCTGCTTGGCCTGGCGAGGCCAGGCGGAGCGAGGCAAAAAGGACCGAGCGGACAGGAGGCGAGAGGCGAGCGGGCTGTCACGAGATGACGTTGCATTTGCCCTCGACCAGCGTCAGTCAGCACAGTCCAGTCCAAGGCTGAGCCAAATCGGCCCACCAGCAGCCGCCGGCCGAGCAGGGCACTCACACACGCGAGGGGTCATTCTGCCTGTCCGCCTCACGCCTGTATGCCTGCCAGGTGTGTGCATGCATGCGTGTGTGGCCAGACTGTCAGTGCCCGAGTGGCCTGTGCAAATGGCAGGCCCAGCTATCGACGCTGCTCAGCCAATCAGATGGCGGCAGGAAGCGGAATGGCCGCATGGGCACACACAACAAATGACCGAGCGCCGCGTGCGTGGCGCCGCAGACGCGGAGACACGCAAGCGGGCGCACCGACGCGCGAGTAGCTGACAGGGCGGCCGACTGGCCTGCCGGCCCAGGGACAGAGCGTGCGACGTGGAGGTGGCGAGAGGGCGCGAGGCCAGACGGCAAGACGCACGCCGGCGAGGCCGGCCTCTCGGGCCTGCCTCAAACACAATTCAGCCCCGACCCGCGCCATAACAGGCCCTCATGAACGCTCTTGTCGTGGATCCCCTCGAGCCGGAGGCAGCCAGTCCTGCCCGCAAGGGCGACGCGCCCTGAGGCCGTCGACGCCCAGCGCCTCACTCCACCTGCGCTCGTACGGACGCCGCGTGTCGCCGCATCACACACTCACACCACACACACACACACCAGTTGTGCCACCGCGAGGGCATGCGAACGCCGGGTGTGTGTGTGCGCTCGGACCGGATCACGTCTCTCGCCTGTCGAGCCCTTCCAGCTGGGCTTGACCTATCCGAGGCCGAGGAGGGGGAGGAGGAGGAAGAGGGGGAGGAGGAGACGAGGAGGAGGAGGAGGAGGCGGGGCAGACGTGTCTGTGTGCCAAGGTGACATCACTTTGTCCCTCACCGGTTCCCCTTTTCACCGACCCTCTTCCGATCACTCTCGCCAGCTCGCCCAGTCACCTGGCCGGCTCTCTCTCTCGGATCCGCCCTCTTTTCTCTGTGCACACACACACACACACACGCGCACAAATTAGACAGACTCTTAGACACACGCGTGTGCAGGCCGTGCGGGCCGAAATCGACCCGCGGCAGTCCAGCCTAGGCCGGGGCGATGAACAGCAGCATCAGCGCGCGAGCAGCCGTGGCAAGGAGCCGCCTTGTCGGATAAGTCGTCGGTGTTGTTGTGTTTGTTGTGGCCTCTGCGCGCCCAGCCCTCGCACACGAGACTGCTCGGCCGCCTCGTCGCTCGGACCTAGTCGGCATGCCTGGCGCGGCCGCGTCGGCCGCCGTCTCGTCGTGACGCCGATTGGCCGCGCCACTCGGTCGCGCGTCGCCGCGATGCCTCGCCGCGCCTGGCGCCTGTTGGTGGCGCTCGTCGCGTTGCTGGCCGACTTGTTGGCGTCGGGCGGCGCCAACGAGCCGCCGCTCAGTCTGCACCTCGAGATGCAGGAGGACGTGGCGCCGCTCACGGAGCTCGGCTCAGTGCGCTCTCGGCTGCCCAGTCATTTGGGCCGAGATTTGCGCTTCTACACAAACGACAAGTTTTTCAGCGTCCTACCCATGACCGGCGACATTCGAGTCGCTCGCGCCATCGATCGCGAGG